GACAGAATAGTGACAGAATACTGAAGATTTCATGTCTTTATTTTACGCTGATAAGGATCTAATCAGTTGATTGATGGCTTCTTACTTAGAGGAGTAGATATCAGCAATGGTGACACGAATGGCGACATATTTTTATAGAATTTTCCATTCCCCTGTTCTGTTGTTTCCAATCCTTTCTATAATTGAATGCTCCCGAAGAACCTTTAGGGTTCTCAATATAGTTCTGCTGTTCACAGCCAAAGCTTCACTGATTCTTACAACCGTAATTTTTGGATCTTCTTTAATCAATTCCAAAACCTTTTGTTCAATACTTATCTTCTCAAAATTAAAAACTACATAAAAACCGCTGTCATCATACCGGAAAATAGGGGCAGGGATTTTTGCGGCCTTAGCTTCATTTAGTATTTTTATCGTTCCACGTCCCCACGATTCAATAAGTCCGGCACGGAAAAAAGCATGGGCAATATCGGGATTGTATGGACGGGACGGATGCTTCACCTTCAGTTTGGCAACGGTCCAATCGTCCGGAAGTTCACCTTCATTCCAAATAATCAGCTGATCATCATAAACGCTGATCTGAATAGGAATTCCACTCGAATAATCTTTGTGTACAATGGCGTTCAGAACGGCTTCACGAAGGGCAGCAGGGGGCACAGGAAAACTTTCCTTTCGCTGTAATCCATTATAAGTGATTTGTGCCTTTAAGTACTTGGTAAGTAGCAATTCAATTACTTTATCCGCCTGTTCAATGAGGGAGCCTTTTACCTCATCCTGAAAGGCTAAATCATCATCAGTTCTGAAAAATCCTATTTTAGTCGTTGCACCGGTAAACAGTTTTTCAGGCTTTGGATGAAAAAGAAGGATGGCGGCTTTTTTCAGGTTTCCGTTGGGTGAAATCAGATGGAGCTTTTCCAAAATATCTGCAGGCAAATCATCCTGAATATTTTCTTCAAACCTTTCCGTTTCAGATGCTCTTGCTTTAAAAAGTTCGAAAGCAGAATTTGAGA